CGTCCCTTCCCCGCGCGAGCGATGGCCAGGTAGCACGTCTGTCTGTGCGTCCGGCCCTGTGGGTGCGCGCCGGCCCCCACGCGGCCCGCATCGCACAGCCGCTCAGCACCGTCCGAGCGCAGGCGAGGGAAAGTGCCCGAGGGGCCCTGCCAGCCCAGCCGGGCGCAAACCACGTTCCCTGGTTGATGAGCTCTGAGACCCTTCGCTGTGCCTCAGCGTCCTCACCTGGGACGCGGCGGTAGTATTAGAACCCGCTTCGCGGGGTTTTTTTTATGAAGATTACACGAACTAATTAATGTTCAGCATTTTAGTAGTTGGGTTTGGAACATAGTGCTTATTGAAATTATGTCATGGTAATAAGAGCATCTGGTTTTTCACACATTCTCTCCATGTAAAGAACAAACAAATCTTGATCTGGCCCAGGAGAGCAACGTCTAGAGGTCACAGTCAGGAGGGCATCTGGCTGGCCTTCGGCTGGCGGCCAAGGCAATGGGTGCCGCCTCCAAAGTAACTGTGTGTCAGACGGGTGGGGACAGAGTTGGCTGTGGAAAGGGAGTGACGGCGAGGGAAGCGCGGAGGGAGGACTGTTAAGGGCAAGTTGAAACCAGGGAATCCAGGGGTCCGATGTTGGGTACCTCTGAAAGGATGAGTGATCTAAGAGAACAATAATGTAACTGCCAGATATTTACCCTTTTAAAAAAAAAATTGGGTATTTTGCAATTACTTTAAACCTTTTGTGCATATAATAAATGTCTTCTTGGAAGGAGGAAGCAGGTTATAAATTAAAATGATGTTTAAGTGGGAGTTCATTACTTAACTCATTGGAAGAAGCTCTACATGTTGTTTCTTAAAATACATACTAAGAAGCTGTGATCCCAGGGGCCTGAGTTTGGTGGGCAATTGCTCTTCCTAAGATTTAGTAGATTGCTAATGGTTTAGCCCTTTTTTTATGTGCTCTCTCCCCCTGGCCTCACTTCCCTTAAAGGAACTTCCTTTGTAATTTCTCCCTTGGTTACTGCTCAGAGATAAGATACAATTTAGGATCAGTTTCCAGCTCACAGTAGGCCTGTTGTTATCTTTAGTCTGTCCCAGGTTACATAACTGCATGAACACACAAGTCCATCCTCACTACTTGCAAGAAAAAAAGTTCTTCCTATTTCTGAAAACAAATCTTGACGAACACCAATATTGGGTCTTTTGATAAGGTTGGTTACTTCAGTGACCATTTTGATAATTTATATCACCTATCAAAGAATTTTTACCAGCTTGTACTATATTTGTCTATCTCACCTGAAATGCTCTCTTTCCTCTTCTCTACCTAACCACATTCTGTGTACCTGGAGGCCTAACTCAAATCCCACCTTCTTTACTGGACATATATTTCAGATTATCTTGATATATTTCTTCTCTGACCATCAATGGCATTTATCAAGAACCTTACTATTTGTATAGATAGGTGCTACCTAATTTCAGCATACACATCTTGATTAACAAGGTTGGAGAATGGTCCAGGGCAAGAAGCATATTTAACCTTTCAGATTTCTCTCAGTATCTGTAGTGTTGGGCACAGAGTAGATGTCTTAATTGTCCCTATCAGAATACAGAG